GCGGCGGCGGCGGCGGTGGTGTGGAACAGGTGGTGTACAGGTGGTACAGGTGGTGTACAGGTGGTGTACAAGTGGTACAGATGGTATGCAGGTGGTACAGGTGGTGTGCAGGTGGTACAGGTGGTGTGCAGGTGGTACAGGTGGTACAGGTGGTATACAGGTGGTACGGTGGTGGTGGCGGCGACGGCTGCGGTGTCGGTGACGGTGACGGTGGCTGTGGCGGTGGCGGTAGCGGTGGCGGTGGGTGGCGGCGCGGTGGGCGGCGGCGGCGGCGGCGGTGGCGGCGGCGGTGGCGGTGGCGGTGGTGGCTGCTGGTGGTTTCGGTTGTGGCGATGGTTGCGGTGGTGGCGTCGGTGGCAATGGCGCTGACGTTTGCGCTGGCGGTGGTTGGTGGTGTTGGTCATGGTCTACAGGGCTGTGGCAGTCGCGGGGGCTGTGGTGGTTGTGAGGGTTGTGGCGGTCATGGCGGTTGATGTTTTTGTTGGCTGAAGCTGGCAGCTGTGGCGGTGATCAAGAGCAGCCACAGCGGCGGCGCGCAGCAGTGGCAGTGGCATAGGTAGATCTACATGTATAGTACATGCTAAACCCTGCAGCTCTCAATTGGAAACATAGGCAATGTACAGACTAAGGGAGTGACCCTGTTTCCGCTGCAGTATTCAGGAGTATGGCAGCCTGCGCCATCAAGCCACATCAGATCCTGGCCTTGGAATCATGCGGCTTGGACTGATTGAGCAGTGCGGATGGTTCTTTACAGGCTACCTTCGACCAGAAAAAGGCGAGGTCCAAATACTTTCTCCATAACACAGAGCAACTTTGCCAGTAATCAATGACCAGCACCATGCCGTCCGCAAGATTGCCCCACATACCTTGACATCGCTGAGCGATGCAATTCAGCTAGAGGTGTGGGGTCAGGAACTGACTTTCTGGACACCCAAATAGCTCTGGCTGACACACAAGCACAACGCCAACAACTTGACTGGAGGAGATCACTCTAAGCTGCTCGATGCATAGATTTCATTACAATTCTCGTGACTGAGCAGCAAGACCACAACAAGACGCAGTCAGGTGGCCATTCATGGGCGAGTTGACTCCGCCCATCGTCTTTGAGACCACACGGTTCGGCCACGGAATCCACTTGCACTGTTGAGAAACCGATGCAGTTCCTGTGATGGGCTGTGCTCAAGAGGCTTGATATGCCACTCATATGCTCAATCAAAACTCCAGGGCCCCTGGCACAAGGGCTGCGCATGGCAAACTCAGGTTATGAACCGCATTGCTGCAAATTTCAGCTTGAAACTGCTCTGACCCAGGTAATGCCAGACCGTGTGAGGGAGCCCCCGCTGCCTGCCAGACCCTAGTTTCGACGATCAGTTGGTTGTCCGGGCTCCCATCTCCAACGATGATCTCCCGCATTTGGATCTGCAGAGCATTGTGGTAGCATGAAAACCATCCTTTTTTCGGAAGCCGTGAGTGCCATGAATGCCCATGGTCTAGACTCCTAGGTTCTCACTTCCAGTCATGACGCATCTGGGGCAGAGGCCCCGGCTGAGAAAAAGAATTTCTTGTTTGTGTCAATCTTGTTCCAGTCTCCTGGGCCAAACTCGCCGGGGTAGAACCTCAACAGGCCAAATGACAGCTCAGCTTTTCAGTGTCACTCCTCTGCCCATTCAAGCATCGACGGCCTCCGTGAGCCATTGCCCCAGCTTTACAATGACCGCTTGCCAACCGTTTTTCAAACGAGGAACAAAGCGGCCTGCCCTGCGACCACTTTTAAACAACTACAGGAGGCAGTTTGGGCTTTTCCTCTGAGAGCTGAACTTCATCTCAGGATCGCCATCACCATCACAAGTGCCCCTGCAGTGTGGGCTGGCAGTGGTACTAGGTAAACACAGCAGCTGGTCTCGATTCACGCGGTTGCGGCTCCATGCTTCCCACTATCCCTGACGTCGAGCCTAGAAAATGGTTGCCAGCAGTTGTGATTTGTGATCTGCAGCGCACGTTGGTTCATCTCCTGAGCATGGCAACGTCCAAAACGCAACTCCAGATGGTTCTGCACTTGAAAAGCTTCCGATCTCACGCCAATACCTAAAGCGAGGCCCACAAACAACCGCACAAACAAGACCGGTTCTTTGGCACCCGGCCAGCTACCAAGCCCAGATTTCAGTTGCATGTTTCCAGGTTTGTTTTGCAGCGACGCAGTCACCTTTAACAACCGAGGCACATTTGTGTCAAACTCAGGGCAGAAGTTACCACCGACGCCATTTCCATCACCTTGACTATAGGCAACTCCTAAAAGGATTCGGATAAGATTTCAGAACGCCCCAAGGCTAGCTTCCAGAGGCACATGTCACCTGCCCCGACAATCCCTGATTCGAAGCAGCATTGCCAAGACAAGCTGCAGTAGTAATCGCCGTACTGACCGGGCGAAGCAGCTGGCATCTTGACCAAAAGAAGTTCACCTAGGAGAAGCAGGTCGTGTTTTTGAGCATGATACTAGCCATTTCAAGCTGTGGCCTACGCTTCGACGAACGACAAGCTCAAGAACCTCTGCCGCACACAGTAGGCCGATCCAACCCAGCCCATGCGCAAAACCATTGTCAGAGTGGCCAATCTTTAAAAGGACCCACTGACATGTTGTAAGGGCTGGCTTTGCCCTCTTGTGAAGGACACGCGGCATTGCAACCACAGCCTGCGCCATTGAGGTCCACTTCTGTGATCCTTAACTCGCGGTGGCTGCAGCTCGGGAAACAAGGCCCAACAGGCTTGAGAAATGAGAGAAGAGCAGTCAATGACCTCAGGCTCAGAAGATCACTGATGCAAGGATTTTGTCCACACACGCAGAGGTTGCCAACAAGTTCTTGGACTGGCTGGAACTCAGTCGGAAATGGTCGCAAACCCAAAGCTGAAGAAAGACTGAGCATCAGTGTCCTCCCGGCCAGCTTCATCATCTTGAAGTTGCCCGCCTTCGAATAATCCGCAGTGTTGTATTTCCTGGCCATGCACAGGCCATCCCTTCAAGGCCGCAGCGGCTGATTCGCATGGGAGCAATGACGGAACACAGCAGCGACAAAATGCAAATAAAACAACAGGAATAATCATAAGGAGAATTATGAAACCCAATGGCGGTCATGATGAGTATCTTCTGTTCACCCAAGCGTCATGAGGTAGTACTTGTCATTGATGCCGTACGTGACAGTTCTCTTGTCAGTGATGGTGGCTCCCGGTAGGTAGTAGGTGTTCCATGTCCCATCCTCGCACAGACATCACAGGTTCGAACAAAACAACAAGCAAAGTTTTACGACAAATGGTGCAGGGGTTGGGATGTTGATGCACCCGACACGACAGGAACGCCTGGCAATACGTGCACAAACCGTATACCAGGAGTGATATATAGATATATGTATATATTCACCCCTTTGCGTCATTCTCCTCCTGAATCTGGAACGCAGGGCCATCTCCTCAGACAAGAGAAACATCCAAAATGAGCAAGACACACAGCCCCAGCTGCATACTGTGTGCGAAGTGCACCGGTAGCAAAGCACGCTTGGTTTACCGCCAACATGCAAAGTGCTGAATATCAATGTGAAACTATCATCGCTGTACTGCTTATGTAGAGCGGACCTGAGCCTGCAAACTTGGCCAACTGCATTGACCTCCTGGGCTTGGGCCGGCTGCACTGAAAACAGAAAGTCGCGGCTGGGCAGTGCTCACAGCCAACTCCTGCACACGTGCATGGACCAAGGGGAGCTTTCACACCCTTTCTTTATTCTTTGGCTGTGAGCCCTCTGAGCTCCCGATGTCTTCACTTCGGCTGCCACTTTCGCCCTTGCCGCCTTAGAAGCCTGTTCCTTGACTTCTTGATTTTCCTGTTTCACACGCCCGTGCTGTTGCCTTTCAGCCTGCTTCTTAACTTAGCCTTGAGCTTCTGGTTGGCCTCGGTCTGCGTCAAGCTCAAAAGTCCAGAACGCAGAAATTCACGTAAAGTGTCTTGCTCTGCAATCGCCTTCGTGAGGACATAAAGGCGTTCTCTTTGCGAACGGTCTCTCGAAGCAGCGGGCCCTCTATCGCCATGCGCTTGTCGCTCAAAGTACTTGTAACATCTCGCTGGAGATAATCATACAGGGACTTGGCGTCAGTGACGTACACCCTCCTCCGGCGCTCAACGACCTGAGGCCAGTTTCTCAAGTCCACATCATCACCCAATCGCCAGCTTCGACGGCCTCTGCCGCATGACTTGCTTCAGCTGCCAGGGTAGACCTGCGCACTCTGTTCGTCTGCGAAGAGTGGAACGCTAGGATGTTTGCCTGAACCTCCATCAAGGATCTGGGGCATCCATGATGAAGTATCCTGGGACGCTCTTGTACTTCAGGTCCTCCTTGTGGTCTGGAGTGCCATTGGCATGACCTGTATCAGCCAAATGAACAACCGCTGCTTCTCGAAGATCAACATCTGCCCAAAACCTCATGCGGAAGCCTGCGCCACGGGGCCTGGCCGATGTACTGCTTCAGCCTCAACAAGTCGGCTACGCAAACATCAGACTTGCCTCTTTGGATGATCCCCTGCTCGTAAGCAAGGTCGCAGCGAAGCTGTCTCGCCAACCATCCAAGCTCGCCCGCGTGGCTCTGGAACCTCTCTTTCTCTTTGGGCTCTAGCTCGGAAACCAACTGCTTCCGGCGGATGTTGTCAACCTTCACGTGCTTCACGCTGAGAGCGTAGTTCTTCATGGTCACGTCCACGCGGCCACTCCCAGGATGTTGCATGACCTCACGCCCCCGGAAGATGAGCTCGGGCTGAGCACTGGAAGGCCTAATCCAGCAAATGAGTGACCATGCCGCCCTCCAAGTCATCCACATAGGTGATCAGGATCCCAAGAAGTTTGCCAGCCTTTCGCAGGTAGAAGAGGGCGGGCTCCAAACGGGAATCCTGCCAGCCGTCGCTTTCGATGTGCTCTTTCCAGAAAAGACGGGCTGCCTCAGCAAAGCCATAGATGGCCTTCTTGGCTCGCAGCAACTGACCTTTCTCCAAACCAGGTAGTCCGCCTCGATGCTGGCCCAAGTAGATCTTTCTGCCAACGTTCTTGCCACTGAAGTATGCATTCTTAATGTCCTCGGCCAGCAGGGTGAACTTAAAGCTCGCGCACACAGCCAAACACAAATTCTCTGCCACTGCGGAAGCTGTAGGGCGTCCCTGCGGTTGAAGCCCAACGACTTGTCCTTAAAGCCTTGCACCACCAACCTCGACTTTGGTAGGAAGTCTTTCCCAACAATGCCGTCATGCTTGTTGGTGCGCAACAAGGCAGGCTTGCTGCGGCGGATGCGCTGGCTCTCCTGAAGGCTCAGGACTCCACAGGCATCTTTGCCTTTCCAGGCAGGGAGCCACTGGCGCAGTGAACAGCCTCTGCGTCTTGGTGTCGAGCTCGTGCACTGACTACCTCCCCACTCGGCTGCTCCTGCGCGCCAAGGCTGAATACTTCCGTCGGACACCGAAGAGGCTCGTGCTTGTCGTAGCGCGGGGTGGCCTTTCCAGTCAGGTATAGTCCTCGGACTTGGCCGTCAGGAAAGCGCTGAACTGGTCAACATAGTTGGCGGACGAAGCAACCAACCTCTTGGCTTCGCGTTCGGCAGCTTCAACTTCTGCCTCCGGATCCTCCACCACAGGCGTCAGTTGCCTTCTCGGCGCTGACTGGTGGTAGTCGTGAACTTTCGGATCGAACTCAGCCAAGTCCAGGTCCTCCTCTCCAGTCGGGTCGACGTCAACTGGAGCGCTTGCTTTCGCCCTCTGGCTCTCATGTCGTTGCTTTCTGCGCTTTTTGTGGAACCCAAACAATTCTGAGGATCTCCGCGCTCGACTTGCATCCCCCTCGGATTCCTCTCTCAACGTCACTGTCAGGGACCGAGAGCTTCCTGATCCACCGTCTTGCCGTCCGGGCGGTCGTGCATTTCCGGCATTTCCCCCTTCAGGCAGCGCATCTAATCTAATCCTTCACCTTCAGGAAGTTCCGGGACCGGTGTGCTAAATTTCAAAAGTCAGGGGGGGAGGGTGGAGAAAATAAAAAGTCTGAAATTAAGCTTTGGCCAACAGCAGCCAAGCACAAAAATGCCCCCGTATCTCAAAAGTTTCTGAGAAAGATGCACGCCCGTTGCACGCAACACACGCGCATGCTGGGAAACTCAACGCGGGAACCAGCAACAGGTCGCACGGTTTGGTTGAACGCTTTAGGGTTATGAGGGTTGAGGAAGCGTCTGGATG